GGGGGGGGGGGGGGGGGCGGGGGGGGGGGGGGGGGGGGGGGGGGGGATATGTCAAGCAAGGGTTCAAATCTGCACAGTGTTTCGCGCCACTCGGTCCCTCTTCGCTGCATTCCCTCGCCGTCTCGTCCGCCTGCTGTACCCCTACCGCCCCCGTGGTTGTTGCTGTGTCCGTATTGTTGCCGGGATTCTTGTGTCGTTTGAGCGCTCGTTGTCGGCTAGCCTCCTCTTCCTTCTTGTGCCAGGAGGTCATGAACCTTTTAGCTCCTTGCAAGTACCCCTGTTTGCCACGGTACCCCCAGGTGCACCTTCGCTTCTTGCATGCAAGTTGGTTGCGGGACTCCGAAGAAGCATGGCTCGGTGTCCGTAGATCCGTGCCCATGGTCTCGAACATCCTGAGGTCGTCCTTCAGGCACATCTGCCAGTTTTGCTCCGGTTTCCCCCGCCTCGGCCCTCCTCCCCCACCAGCTCGCCAAGCATCACCCGTGTCGGGAGACGTCCGTCTGGCTGCCTTGCCAGCGCTCTCGCGAACAGCAGGCGCTGTTGCCGAATAGTGGTTTTCACGCTCTTGCACCCTACCCTCTTCAGGGCCTGGGCGTAGGAAAGCTCTCGGCCTCTCGAAGAGCTCCTGGCCTCCTGACGCATGCCCACGCTGCTCTGCTCCGTTCACTGACCTCCGGGGTGACGTCGCCTGTTCGTTGACGAGGGCCCGTATGTAGGTACCGGAATTCAGTCGTCTGGGCGTACCTCTGTCCTGCTGCCTCGATGATCAGCGTTGTCGGTGAGGAGGGCGGTGGTGTTGTTTGCTGCTTCTCCTTTGCGCGCCTTAGGAGCATCTCCGTCTTCTTCTCCGATACCGTCAGCCCGAACTCCCCGAACACCTCCACGATGACGTCTATCATTCTCGCCAGTCCTTCGGCAGACCTCGATACGAGGCCGGCGTCATCGACATACAACATCCCCCATACCTCCCTCCGCACTCGGTCAAGTGGTGTCCTCGCCCCCGCTCCTGTCTCCTCCTCCAGGCACACCAGGTTCTGTAGAATAACACCCTCGCTGAATCGAATGGCAACGACCTCAGTCACCCCGACGAAGAAGATGTTCAACAGCAGTGGGGATAGCACATCCCCTTGTCGTAGGCCGTGTGTGACCCAGAACCAGGCCGAAAACTCTCTTGTCGTCCATGCACACCCGGGCTCGCATTCCGTCGTGGAATTGGCGGATGACGGCCATCATCTCCTCAGGAATCCCGGCCCTGGCCAGGACCTTCCACAGCAGCTCTCGGTCCACCGAATCGTACGCCTTCTTCGGGTCGACGAAGCACATGCAGGGTGGTCTTTTCCTTCTCCGCCCCAACTCCTGGAGTCGGCGCACGACGAACAGCATGACGATGGTCGATCGCCCAGGTCGGAACCCGCATGTAGGCGAGGAGCCAGCGGTCGGTCCCTGACGGACCGTTTGATGTATTCCATATTCCGCCCGTGCGTGTTCCGAAGAGCGTGTTCGCGAGTTCTAGCTTGTTTTCGGCTGCGGATGTCAGCAGTAGTGGGCCATTCTCGTTTAGCTCATCACGCCCGTGGATCCCCATGACGCCCTCGTCCTCCTCGTCCATCCTCTCTCCCACCGAGCATTGGCGTCCATCAGGATATGCCCGCACTCTTTGGGGGGAATCCTCCGCACGAGACTGTCAAGGTTTCCCCAGAACTCTGTCTTGCTGTCGTCGGCGGCGACCTCGTTTGGGGCGTAAACAGCAACAAAGTTGACAGCTCCGCGGTGGCCGGTCACCTCAAACCTCATCACCATGAGACGTTCATCAACATGTTTCGTGGTGAAAGTGTGGAGGTCTTGCATAGTGAATATTTTGCGGCTATTCCCACACCATGGATATTGCGCTTCTCCGTACCACAGCAGAACACTCGGAAACCCGCTACTGCGAACTCCGTTTGACCTGGCCTCCTAGTCTCCTGCAGCCCTACCACCGATACATCTTGCTTCGCTGCCTCGTGTAGGATGCTGAAGGCTCGCCCGTACCCATTCTTCCCGTTTACAGCCAGAGTCCGGACATTCCAGGTTGCTACCCAAAGAAGTCGACCCTGCTATCTCTTTCGGGCGGTGCGTGCTGCTCTCTTAGCCAGCCTGCGCTTCGCCCGTTCCGTCCTATTCCTCCTTCGTGCCCTCTTCGTCGTTGTTTTTTTTGTTGCGGGCCCTCGGGCTAACGTACATGTTACCCCGGTTCTTGCCTTTAGTCTCAGCGAGTTGTCTTGTCCCGGAGCCGTGGGGCCCTCCAGCTCTGGACCCCTCCTTTCTCCTCTCTGGTGCATACCCCCACGGTGTACCCGTGCTCTCTGCTGCTGCATGGCCCCGGTGTCCAAGCCCGGGCGTCTGGATTCAGTCGCATTTGCAGCTGCCCAAGTCGGCTAGGTCGCGAGCCACCCCGAACTTACGACAGCGGTAGTTCCCGGCCGCCAAACTCAGGATCCCCTTCTGATCAGTGCTACGGACTGTGTATCCGTCTTTGTTCGGTGATGTTTGGAGGTCTAAGTCCACTCACGGGCCTCGGCCCACCCCAGCAGGGAGGGGGGTAGGCCGTGGGAAGCGTTTACATGTACATAGAGTGCCCGAGAAAAAAAAAAAGGCGAAAACGTGGGTCCAGCCTATGTTACATAGACCATTCGTATGCTCAGTACCCTCCGTTCCAACCAAATATTCACCGACCGCAGTGTACTATGGTTGTTTCTCCGGAATCCTTGGAGTACAGTCGTGGCTACCTTGTAAGATGGGGCTCCGATATAAGAGGGTCGACATCGGTTGTCACGGACTCGACGCGCTATACAGGAGGGTTAACCTCTTCTACAGAGACCGGACCCCCTACATTGGGGTCACCCCACTGTAAGAGGGGGTTTGCACTAGGGAGCTTGTAAGTTAGGGACTGTCGCCGGTGTTGTGGCTCCCCCGGCCTTTCACTCACACTCAAACACACCTTCCTCACACCAATCGCCGCAAGAGCAATAGACGAGAGAGGAGCTGCCAGATCATAGTGGTACTTATTGACACTGGTGGCAAATGCAAGGACGATGATGCAAAGATGATGAAAGCACTCCGAAACGAACACGTGTGCAAAATAGCAGCCTTGCGTAAAGTTTTCTTCTATTGCTACCGTCTCTACCTTCGATCTGGAGTTTATTTTCGCCTCCCCCATGGCGCCCTCTCATGGGATCCCAGGTCGTGGCCTTTTGAAGCACTTTCTGTGTTCAGCCGCACTGAGACTGACGTGTTCTCATTGGTTAGCTGGTTAGCGCGGTCGGTGCAACTAAAAAAAGTGTAAAAAACACACACACATGGCGGGGTCAAGAAGAAGGGTTGTTTGTGTAAGGCTAGAATTTTGTTCTGTTCAGCATATGGTTTGAAACCTGCACCGCAGACAGACGTCAGGGAAGTTCTCTTCAAATGTGGGCAATGTGTGTGCGCCAGGGGCCAGGGGGAGGTAGACTGTTCGTTGGTGTAATACAGCACTTTCTTGTAGCCTGTGTACATGAAAATTCTCATGATCGGAGAGGTGTCGAGAAGTTGCAACATACTGTTCGAATCCATACGCGTTTTGAATGCATGTACATATGTGCTTAACCTCCTGTAGTATCAATGGCTGCGTCACCTTGGCCGCGAGGAAATTATTCTCTGCAGATGTTCCTACTCCATGCACGAACAAAACACGAAATGGAAAGCGTTGCCGATCATCACAATCACCCGGCTCGCTTTGGGCATGTCAATTCGGGCAAGCAGCCCACCCACCACACGTGCTCTACAGTCCGCCACACATACATGGTTCACACCTACACGGCATACAGGTACGCTGTGCGGTAGTCAAACTGCGTGTGTTGCTCGTTGTTCCCGATCTCCCCCTTTGTAAGAGGGTACCCTACAATAGAGTGTCCCCATACAAGAGGATATCCTCTTATACAGGCATTAGAGGGGGCTCCGATATGAGAGGATCGAGTGCCTTTGTCGCGCCACCCTCTAATATCAGAGCCACGTCTGTTATTAAGTCTCTGGTACAGTCAACCATGTACTCGTTCGTGAAACGTCCAAGCAAGCGTGCACGATAACATAAAGAAATCGAGACAAGGGCTTCTGCATGAAGTCTTGCACACGTTGTATGCGAATAGCGCGAGAGTGAAAGCGCCGTCGACCATTGGTAAGAAGCAGCAGAATGAACGTGGAACGGACCGAGAGACGTTGCCCTTCGGCTAAGCAACGATAGTATGCGGTAGCCCATTCCGTCACGCTGGTTACCCCGTATGCTCATGTATATACGTATGGCTTGACATTGTGCAATTTCGGACGACAGCATAACTTGGGGAGTTTATCTCGAACGCCGAACGTAATGACAGCAGGAATTAGGGCGATCGCGCAGGAATGCGACCGATTGTTTGAAGTCGGCCACACCACGAGCTAGGAGATTGTGAAACCCGACCGACAAGCGCAAGGAAAACGCTCGATGTTGAAGTATTTCCAAAACCAACCATGCAGCAAGAGGCAGCCTCTTGATTGTGGAACGCTTGTTCGCCTCCAACAAACGATTTGTTTTGCCCATGTTTTGTAGTTAGGTCGGAGGATCACCGTCGTTTTTCGGCCTTGAGTGCGCACCTTCGAATAATCCTGCCAGACAGCTGATGGCATTAAGATTTTGCTTCGGGCGGAATAGTCGGCGGCGACAGGGAGATGTTGCAGCACTTTCTTTGTCGTCGAAGGTACTCTCCCGGTAGGAATTAACGTTTGATGAGAGCAAAACGGCTTGATAGCCTGCTGAGCCTTAGCTCATCCCTTCAAGGGCCTCGCGCCTTGTAAAAAGGAACATAGTTCACATTGAATACACTGATGGCGCTCGTATTTGCTTGCCACCGAGCGGCTGATGTATGGCGACTGAACACGGGAATTCGTTTTTTTTTTTTGCCCTGTCCATTGGCTCTTCGAAACCTACAAAGGGTGTCTACGACCAGGCGATCGGCTTCATCACCGTCGCGTTCTTCGCCATCGCGACCTGCACGCGCAGCTACCGCCGTCGGATGCGCCGTCCAACAGTAGTCATTGTGGAGGAAGAGACCGCCCATGCCGAGCCCACGAGACTACGAAACGTAAGTTGTCGAGCAAGGCACCGACGCGCATCCAACTCTCATGCCTGTTGGATTTTCCAGCAATATGTACATTACCTTCATAGTCTAGACTTGAAGCTGCCCTGTGGGATCCCAGACTCACGACGTGAAGCAACCAAATACAAGCCCTTCACCTTTCCCAACCCCGCAGTTCGTGGATCAGTGGGCGCATCATCAGCCGAAGGGGGTGCCTCGGCACGTCCGGCAAACCTTCGACTACTTCATATTCACGGCAGCGGCATCACCCACCGACAAGGAAAAGGACGAAGAGGTGAAAAGACCCGGTGGAAACCCACCGGGGACGGCGGGATCAACGCCACTGCCGTCTGCCCCGGTCGCGCCTTCTCACCGAGGCCAACCGGATGCAGACGCTGGCGTTGAAACCGCTCGACCCTTCGTCGGAGCTGCGGATGGGAGCCCTACGGCGGAGCAGGCCCAAAAGGTACGGTCCGCCCGGATGTTAGACAAAGTCCGCGGCGCGCGTGACATCTATCGCGCCGCTTCAGACCATTCACACCAAACAAATTTGTGCACTTAGGCCAGTTTGCTACCGTTTCGATTGCTGCAAGTCTGCGACATGTTCCTCCGACGTACAGGATAACTTTCGATTTCTACCACGACTCTTCCATCATTCCTACTTTGTACCCAGTATGGCCCTTCATCCCCCTGGCCTATGCATTGCGAAAACCCAAGGTGGAGCGACGTGCCCTTACCCACCTCGCACCCCTGCATTCATGGACACGACGTTGAAAACGTGCCTTCTCGGTGTGCGCTTGCCCATATTCCGCTTGTACGAACTATCTGCAGGCGGCAGCAGCGGCCGCGGCTGCGACTACGGCAGAGCCCGCAATCGGTGTTGACGAGGGCAAGCGGGACGGCAGCGGCGCAGCATCGGCGCCTTCTTCGGAGAAAGAAACGCAGCAGCAGCTCCAACAGGGGAAGTTCGCGTGGGCATCATCGTCAGCGCTGACGGACTGCAGCGTTTGCCTGGAGGCGTACCGTAACGGGGACCGGGTGTGCAGGCTCCCATGCGCGCACGCCTTTCATGCGTCGGTGAGTGTACGGGAGGAAGCCGCATCGCGATTGTATTGGCAGACGTGGAAGTAGCCAAAGCGGGCGAGAAGGGGGGGGGAGTCGAAGGTGCTGTTTCACGTATCCAGCTTACATCGCACCCGTGCTACTGCAGGAGATGGTCGAGGTGTTGGCCTGTAGAACGGAGGATCGGATGCTTGTTTTTCGGGTCCCATCTTCTAAGTGGAGACATCGTATTTCTCCCACGAAAGGCTATTGAGCGTGCAACAAACGATTCTGTCCTCCGCGCCGGTATGATGTTGGCTGAGTCTCTGATTTCCTAAGGCGTCGCTACTACAACAGACCCGAGATATTTGGCATAGTAGCACTCGGGGGAACAAGCGTGTGCCTTGTCCTGCTCACCTCTCAAGCACAGCTCACGTGCCCTCCCTCCCGCTGCTCGTCCCTGACGGCCCTAAATTAACCCGATGGCGCAGTGTATCAACACGTGGCTGGACCAGCAGCACGTCTGCCCGCAGTGCCGACTCGACCTATTGCCTCCGGAACTTTCTTGGGGGCAGTCGTCGCAAGCGTCCGCCACTACCACCTCTGGAAACCCGACGCAGTTCGCCAATCTGTTCGGGTCGCTCGAAAGGATGATACTGGCGTCCCACCAGTCGGTAGCAGGCGGGGGATACAGCGGCAGCGCCATCGCCACCCACGGTGCTCAGGGGCAAGAGACAGGGCCTGCAGCCGCTGGGTCGCCGTACGCCTCCATTTTCGGCAGCCCGGCGTACGGCGCGTCGCCGCTTCCGACGGTAACCAGCGTGGCCCACCAGGCCTGGCCCTCGCCCGAGTTCTTCAGCGGGGCCGGGGGCAACGGCAGCAGCAGCCAGCACAGGAGCGTCCGCGCCAGCGCCAGTATCGCCGGTTCACCCACGGACATGCCTGGCCCTTTCCACGCGCACTTTCAAATGCAACAGCAGCGGCAGCACCAGCAGCAGCTGCTGCTGCTGCAGCAGCAGCACTATCTTGCCAGCCCGGCATTCACGGACGGGTCCCCGCCCTCGACGGCAAGCAGCGCGGTGCTGGTCCATCCCCGTGGGCGAACGTCGCCGCGGTTCACTACCTTGGGGGGGCGCGCTAGGGGGACGCCAGTGCCTAATGGTGTCGGGCGTTTCGGCATGTTCCCTGCCGTGATGCGGTCGGTGAGCTTTGCGGCGCCTGACGGTAGTACCATCGGGAGCGGCGGCGTTGGAGAGTCGGGGGTGAACGCGGGCGCGGCACGGTTAGGCATACCCCCGACTCCGCCGCGAGGCCGCCATCCGAGCACGGGCGGTCCTCAGGTATCCTCGGTGCACCACAACTACCAATTCCGGCCCGTTGTAGCCGCCCCGCACCACCATCCGCACCAGCAGCAGCAACACCACGATCACCAGACGCGCGGAGGAGATCAGCAACCAACTGCCGCGAACGCGGTCGGCGCTGAGCCGACGGGAGCAGCGGTGGCCGGTGTTGCCCCTCAGGGACATAGCGCTGCAGCACCGGCGCCGGCCTCGGCTTCGACGACAACAGTGGCCGTAGCCGCACCCTCGCCGCCCCCGCTGCTCCGACTCAGTCCGCGACGCCCTCGGATGGCGGTGTTGGGACGGGGCGCGCGGCCGTCCACGCCCGTCATGTGCCCCGCCATCACCGGCTTTCCGGCTGGTGGCAACGGTGGTGGCGCCTGTGATGATGATGAAGACGGCGGCGGCGGCGGGTATGTTGGCCAGCCTTTCATGGAAAGCTGCGGTGCCGGCACCCGGACTCGCAGCGGTAGCGTCCCCATCGGCAGGCCCCGAAGCGGGAGCGGTCACCGGCGCCTCCGCATTCCGAGCCTCCACGGAGGCCGGCGGCGGCTGCGGTCGCGATCCAACAGCTACGACGTGGTCCCCACGTCCCGGTCGGGCTCTCCCGGCATGTTCGTCCTCGGGAACGCTAGCCCTAAGGCTGGTTGTGGCGGGGGGGGGGTTGTGGAGAGAAAGGCGTCCGGGGCGTTCTGGGGCAGCAAAGGTAGGCCTTCTTCTCGGAGGCCCCAAGGGATGGCATCGTGGGACGAGGTCGACGATGACGTCAGCGACATTTTCACCAGGTAAGAGGAGGGCTCAATAGGCTTTTTCGTCTGTCTGTTGTCGTTCTAATCAAGCTTTTTAGTCCTCTTCTGAGAGAGCACATGGGCGTTTCTCTGTTGTGTTTTGTCACGCTGTTTATTTATCTTCTCTCTCCCTGCCCGTCTGGGTTTTGGTTGCCTCTGTTTAGACTTCAGTCAACCGTGGCACTAGCATGAACGGCGCATGAAGAAATAAACATGCGGTACACACATTCCGGGAAAACGTACGACCGAAATATCCACATATCTACCACTACGAACGGTACGTTCTCGTGAGTATGTTCCGTTAGGCCTCCCAAGGAAGCCGACCGGTTGCTGATCATACTCCAAAACGTCTCAGAATTCTCGCGAGATGTCCATGGCTTACTCCAACGCCTTGGAACATTTTCGACCTCTCTGCGGCTTTATCATTATCAGATGCAGGCCGGGGTCGGAAGACTGGGGAGGGAGCGGGGACTGGCAGCCGGACGCGTTCGAGAGGTCGTTCCGGAACGGCCCCTCCATCGCCCCAACGTCAACGGAGCAGCAGCACGGCCCAGCCAACTTGCGTGCCGCCGCCGCCGCCACCACCACCACCACCACGTCTCATGTCGGTATCGTCTCGGAGAATGCTGACGGTGGCAAAGGTGCTGGTGGCGGTGGCGGTAGTAGGGAGCTGCCGCGGCCGCCTTGTCAACAAAAGCGGCAAGCGGCTGAGCAGCAGCAGCAGCAGCAGGAGCGCAGTAGAAGTCAGCAGCACCGAGAGGACCACCAGCAGCAACAGCAACAGCAGCACGGAGACACTCAGCGTGGGCAGGAGCCGCAGCAGCCGCCGCCGCGCCAGCAGCAGCACCAACTGCAGCAAGAGGAGGGGCAAGAACGGCTAGCGCCGCACTTCCACCTCAGCTTCGATGACGAGACCTCGGAATCGGAACAAGGGGGCGGAAGTGGTGACGAGGACCATGACAGCGACAGCAACGACAGCTCCTCCTATGCAGACTCCGAGGAGTTGGAGGGCGTGGAGGCGGGTGAAACCGAGGACGGGGGGCGTCCGCGCGGTAGAGGCCCCTGGTCCATGCTATACTGTCAGTAAGAGAGAACGCTAAAAAGAACTGAAAACCGTTCTCAGGTACTGCTGTACAGTCAGTGAGCCGAGCATCTGTCAGTAATCATTGGGACGTCTCATCTTCAACGTGCAGCTGCTTTGGCTGGCCTCAGGTATCATCATTATTTTTTCTCATGTCAACAAATCAAAGACGGGATAGATTATGTCGATGCGTTTGTGCCGGGTGTTGGTGTTACGAGGAAGGTGCTACTGGCTGTGATAGGATACATAAGACGCCCGTTGTCCGGACGGAGTGATGCCAATCAGTTGTGAGAAGTGCTGTCGCTGATGATGCTACAGCAACATCAGTTGCTATCCGCTCTTCGTGTTGAGCTGCTTCTGTACGACTGCTAGGTACTGTTACTAGCTTGGCGTCGCCGTCGGCAACAGGGAGAGAGCTAGATAGACGACCATGGGGTTGGTTAGTTTTATGCGTTCTTCGTTGTGGCTGGCTCCGCCTGAAACGGAACCACGCGCGTGCTTTCGATACCGGGCCAGGAGAAGGGTTATATGTACCCAAACGGGAAAGAAACGGGACTTTACAGCAGTGTACCCAAACGGAAAGACAGGGACCGCATCCCACAGATCTGTTGCCCCCTTCACCGTATGGTTGCTGTGTGGTTTGTGTGTATACCGCCCCCGCGCGGGCGTGTGCGCACCATTTGAAGTGCTATGCGGGTGCCCTCTATTTGATGGTCCTTATTTTAGGTGTCGTCCGGGTATATTACGTAAGTAACGAGTTTAGACTAAGCCCTTGCTGGGCGCACGTACATTTCAAGTACTGTTTTTTTGGACGGAGTGATACCCAGTTGATTGTTAATGTGTTCCTCTACTTGTCGTTCGCATGGTTGTGCGATAAATCTTTATTATGGTAGTTTCAACTATTTTGGATCGAGCGATTCCCTGCTCTGATTCCCGGGTGGATCTCAATTCCGTTTCCCCGACGATTCGCATTTTTGTATTTTGCCGTTGTACTCCTTGGTCAATTCTGGCGAGCGTTCCTTCACGCTGACCACCGTGATAGCATACATTACATATCTACTGTAGCAAGTTTGATGTTCGCGTATTTAATGCTTGCCCGCCGTTGTTTTTCAACTATCTATCGTGTGTGCGTGTACAGAGCAGGTATTAAATAAAGATGGACTCTTTTACACAAGTTTTTTCCCCATGCCTCACATACCCGTCGTTGGTAGGTAGATCAAGTGTGTGTGGAGCGTGGTATTTGTGTGCCTTCTTTGTGTTCCCGTACAACGTAGTACCACGTACCATCGTGGTACGGTACATGCCTGACTTGGCTAGATTTTTCCGTCGCCGGGAATGAATTTCTTCGTTGTACTTCGTTGGGAGGATAGCTTTGGGTATTGTAGGGGGAAAGAATGTGCTCCAAACATGAGATTGGTGGAGGGCGGCTTCTTCTGTTCCCCAAGCGGGGTACGGTGAACGCAGTATTCTCGATTGATGGTGTTTTTGATGGGGTACCCGTGTTTGGTTTTATTAGCGTTTTCTACCATGCAAATGTACTAGAAAGGACGCGCATGGCAGGGTAGACTCTTGACGACAGACTGGCGTGAAACATACTGCGGTGCTACTCGCGTGAGGTAGACAGGCTGTCTCTTTGTTGAATAGGTTTGATAGTGTCTTCATGGACAGGCAATGGAGGACATCCGGTGTCAAGCACACGACGGCAATATTCACCACCGAATGTTCTTCGTCGTGTTCATCTCTCCTGGGCATAGCAGGTACAGTAGTCGTGCCGTGTTCGGCTGTGTCCAGCCTGTGTAACCTCTCTCTGCAGGTGGCGGTGAAAGGTGTAACTTCAGTGTTCCAGGTGGGTGTGAAAAAAAGCTGATACAAGACTCTACTAAAGTGTAGTACATACACAATGTAGTTCGTCTGCCGAGTCTGAAATGGAGGAACCATTGGGTGAATACTTGATGTACTGACGCATTCGTTCAGGAGTTTTGTCTGTCCTGGACCTTTCGCGCGCGCGTGTGTGCCATGTCTGGATTTCGACTGCCTCGAGGGATTTTTTTTCTAAATGTGGAGGGGGGCCTTATTATGTGGCAATACTCGGTGGTGGCGGAGGTTTGGTATTTATGGCGCGCCTGCCTGTTTCCGACAATTTTTGGGGAAGCTATGGAGCATGGTACATTATGACATTACATATATTTACCGTCCTGTCAGTGACGTACCAGACAACGGTGAGCGTTTCCTCCCCTGGATAACGGGGAAAAACCTGGGGACTGCAGTATACGTGCTGAGGGGTTTGATTTTATGTTTCTTTATGGAGGAAGTATTAATTGTAATGAGATCTGCCTACGTCCTTGCCCGGGTTGTGTGGAACTACCGTTCTCTGGCCCGGCTAGTGATCCTCGTTGTTGTTATCCTCTGCTTCCCAGGTCGCTATCTGATTGCCTTGCGTGGACATGCAGCACATAAATCAATCAAGTACGGCACCAGCTCACACCAAAATTGTCGATGCACGTATAGACGCAAATCTTAGATGCACCCAGGGAGCTCCGTGAGATAGAATACGGTATACCCAGCGGCTCCCGCGGCTCCGTGAGCTGCCATTTGAATTTTGGCCTCAACACCACATCACAACACGGCACCCGTACAGCCACAACCCTGCCCACACGAGGCCACCACACGGACCCAAGAGATGAGTGCAGGCGTCAACGACCATGCGGTCCTCAGCGGTGACAGCATTGAGTGTGAGAGCGCACAACGTGTTGGCGTTGGAGCAAGCGGTCCGGCACAGCTCGGCCCACTACTCCCCTCCACTCCCGCCCTACCCTGCATCCGAGAAGGCCAAACGGCTCTACCCTGCCTCCGAGAAGGCGAGCCCTCTCTCTTGGGCGAGGAAGTACTCGCACTAGAGAACGCCCAGGGGTGCGATGAACCATGGGGTGACTGGGAGCAGCAGCAGCAGCTGCAGCAGCAGGTGAGGCAGGAGAGGTGCGAGAGTCAAGAGCAGCAACAGCAACGGGAAGAGGAAGCTCGTCAACCCGTGCAGTCACGGGATGACGACGCCTCCTCCTCCTCTCGAGAAGGCCGGCCAATGCTAGAGGACTCTGCTGGACTTGCTTGGTTGGCGGCAAGCATTGGTCGGGGGCAGCCAGGTCCAAACGGTGAGACCAAAACAGAAACGCAGAAAAATGAGCACACAGCCGTTGGTATTCCACCCCCCCAACTCGCGCGCTCAAATCGGAGGGATAGGTACAGTCGAGGGACCCTTTTAGTGCCAGTTGAATAGTGCCAGATGCCCGGTATAGTGCCGGTAAAATCTCTGCACACAGGCGGAGCTCTCAATAGTGCCAGACCGGCACTAATTAAAGCATGCCCGATATAGTGCCGGTTCGGCACTGCTGTCACCCCCAATAGTGCCGGTACTCCGCACGCGCGAAACACACACACGCACAAGGCCAGCATGAGAATACCAACGGTCAAAGAGGTACGCGCAGACCCGACGAAGAGCGAGGAGGTAGATTTCTTCAAAGGGACAGCTCGGGCGCAGGTGCACCTACCCATGCGAGAAGGAGGACTAGGAATCACGAGCAATGTTCTCATTCGAGAATCGGCTTTTGTGGCAGGG